CGTTGCTTCACTGGCCCAAGTTGGCACCATCATTGCGCTCTTCCTGGGCGAGGCAGATCAGTCGCCAGCTTCTGGACGGCCGCTCACACTGGCTGCTGGTTACACACGGTAGCCCATGGCAACCCACTGCAGCAGGGGCTGCAGCCTACGCCGTCACCGGTGACTCACAGCAGCCTAGCTCCAGGTTGAGCTGTTGTTCAGCATCTTTGCTGTGGAGGGCAGTGTCACTGGCCCTCATATGTGGGATCCGAGCCGGGGCCCTCTGGCATCCCAAGCCAGTTCTTAACCATCGCGCCACTTGGCCAGCGCCCCCCCCCCTCCCATTTTTTAAGGAATAAAATTAGGTGAATTATTCTTAAAAAGCCAAAGCCTTGAGTTAAAAAATAATGCAAGAGAAAACATCACTGGAGAGAAGGCTGTAGAATCCTGCTTGTCAGACTTGCGTGGGACCCCTTTTCTTTAATACTCTGCCTGTGGTCTCTGCGTGTGTGCTTCTTTACAAGGTGACTCATAGGCTTGCACGACTGCTTCCTTTCAGTTTAATTTAAAAATGTTTTCATATCCTACTTTGCACTCAGCAAGCTAAGCTTTAATTTTAGTTCTCTCTGGTCCTTTTCATCCAGAAGAATGGCAGAACAGTTGGGTCAACGTGTATTTTAAGATTCCTCACCCACTCCTGAAACGCGTTTTGTTCAGCCAGGCTTTCGGCTAGCAGTGTTCTCTACACACCCTTTCTTCCCCTTACTTTTAATGGCAGAAAAATCAAGAATACTTTGCCATTTCGTGGTCTTGCAAACATTTGATGACTGTTTGCAAACCTTGTCTTATGGGAAGATACAGCTGTTGTGAATAGCCCCCGTAAATGCCACTTTAGTGGGTCACTGCTGGGACCAGTTTGGAAAGCTCAACTAGGGTACTGCAACCTCAAGTGGCAGAAGATGATGAATTTTATTTTTACATTTATTGAATGTTCTTAACTGTGTAAAATTAGTTTTAATTGTTTCCCCTTTATTAGTAAAACTAATGTTTTTATTGAAATTATTATTAGAAGTCACATCACTCTTTGCTGATCCCGGGGCACGCACTTTTGTGGTTTTTGTAAGTGCTAAAAATAAAATGTAGTAATAGTGTACCTTCCATAGAGAGGGAGTAAAATTTTCCCTTTTTGATCTGTGTCCTATCCAGTATAGCTTATTGTCCTCTTTTTATAATTAAATGCTATTTTAAAAGTGGTGTGTGGCTATTTGTGTTACAGGATCGCCCCAGGACGTTCGACATGCACTCCCTGGAGAGTTCACTCATTGACATAATGAGAGCTGAAAATGATTCGATTAAAGGTAATTTTTAAAATGTAACTCTTTGATTTTAATCAAAGTTAAAATTTTGTATTTGTGTAATCTGATGAACAATATGGCAAATATGGATTCATTTTTTGTTTCTAGTCAGTTCCATCAATTTTATGCATGTACCTCTTTTTGTTAAAAAAATCAAACATATTTGATAGGCAGCCACTGTAGGCCCATCACAACATTAGTTAGGAGAACTATAAGAGTGCTTACTAATTGCTTATGGTGGGCAGTTACCTGGAAAGACATGAATCATACACCTCAATTTCTTATATCTCAGGTAAGACCTGCTCAGTGCCGAAAAACTTGTCTGTCCACCTGTGACAGTGACTATACACTGGGAAGAGTTCAAATGTTGATAGATTTTTGTCCTAGTTCACATTTTTTTAAATGGCCAACAGTTTCAAAGTTAAAATGAAGTTTTGTGGTTCTTGCAATATTTTCTATGTATTATTTTCTGTGTATTATGTTCCTACTTAGATTCTGGTCCCAATTCTTTTACTAACTAGCTATGTGATCGTGAATAAGACATTTGAGTTTGTCAACTTTATGACAAGGGATTTAAAATCACTTTTACAATAAGGGACTTATAATGGGGAGCTTTAAAAATAAAAGACAGATGCCTGGGCCCGGTCCCATGTGTGGGTGGGGCTTGGCATGTTATTTTTTAATGTCTCCATTGATGCTCATGTGTAGCCAGGGTTGAGAATGACCAGAATAGATGTTTTCTAAGGGCTCCTCCAGCTCCAATTTTGTGAAAACTACCCCATAAAATATTTTTGCACAAAAACCATATTTTACTTGAAAGTACTTTAAAAAAAATGGGGTGGTTTGGTATATTTAGCCATCTCACTTAAGTTGTTCGTTCTTCATTTGCCTGTTTGTTCGTTCGTTTGTTCATTCATTCATTCATTTATTCATTCAATGTTTATGAGCCTGCTTTGTGCCAGACACAGCTTGCACTGGGGTCAAAGGTGGCAAGGCAGCTGCTGCTCCAAGCGGTGACCAGCCTGGCCCAGTTTTTGTTTGACTTTGGTTTATCATATTACTGATACAGTAAAGCTAAATATTTTTCAACACATGAATAATGGTTAATTTTTTAATGAGGAAAGCTCTTTGGAGTCTGGAGAGATGAAAAATGATACATGAAAAAAATATGCACCCATCTGATGAGGTCACTTGGAAATAAGATTATTTTGAAGGTCTTGACTGATTTCCTCACAGAATCCTGATGGTCGACTAATTCAGATGCATACTGTTTCTGAGGGAAGGCGATCTCTCTCCCTCAGAGAGCATCTGGCTTTACTTTTCCAACTTCTGAGCACTCTAATGTGGGACAGTCCTTCAGCTTCTTTCACCCTTCATCTTGTTTTCTCATCAGAAAAACGAGGAGAGCCTAAGACCCTTTCTAGCACCAGAAAAAAACTGCACTCTCTTAAAAAGTAGCTAAAGGAGAAATTTGAATAAGATCTGTGGATTGTACCAATGTCAGTTTCCTGGTTTTGTACCATACAGAGGGTGCTGAAAAAAATATGTGCACATTTTAAAAAGGAGAAAACCGTATTAAAATTGTAATACTCAGTAGATATAGATAACAAAAGATGAATACAAGTCATGTGAATACATTTTTTTGGCACCCCCGGTAGTTATGTAAGATGTTACCATTTAGGGACACTGGATAAAGGGTACATGGAACTATCTGTACCACTTTTTGCAACTTGCTGGAAATTATAATTATTTCAAAATTAAACGTTAAGTACAGAAAAAGCAGCTAAAGGACATTTGTTTATACTTAATGTATTTTACTCCAGCGACTTTTTTTTTTTTTGGAGAGCATCTTATGTACTAGATACTAGGGATAATAAATAATTAGAACTAATTTTCTTGATAAGTACCTACTTTATTAGAGAGAGCACAGTTTACAAATAGCAGCAGATATAAGCAGTTTATTATGTGATGCTCTAAGAAGCAAGCCTCTGACTAGTACTCAGTTAGATGCAAGAGCTTGCACACGTTATTCTCATAGAATTAACAGTAGCATTTCCATGGTTTATCAGACATCGTGAGGACATCTCTCAGGTCTGATTCTCCTCTCCTATTGTTGAATTTTTGTGTCAAGTTCTGCCATTTTTCTATATTCCCTTTCTAACTTCCTCTTACCAATTTTGACCTAAATTAAGTTTCTTCAAGCTGATTCCCCAGGGAAAAACAAAAGTTAAGTCTGATGGCAGAAAAAAATGAAATCTGATTGGCCTAGTCCAGGAACATACAGGTTTTGTAAAACTGTGGTCTGTAAGAGGCAGTATGGCAGAATGGAAAGACCAAGGGCTTGGGAGTCAGCGAGATCTGGATTGAAATTGCCATTCTGCCCCCACAGTTTGTGAAGGTCAAATGATGCGATGTAGATATAAAGCCCAGCCTGCTGCCCAGTTCATAGAAGACACTTAACAAATGGCATCGATTATAACTAAACAGCTATTAAGTCTGTTTTCATGCTTATCAAATGAGAAAGCCAGTTTCAATTTAAGTTGAAGTGCCAAGGTGACACGTATATTAAATGAATTTTGTATATATTTTCCTTCAAAGAGCAATAAAGAATTTGCAGATGAGTTCATGGTCCTAAAATGCCAGATTATAGATAGTTAAGCTTGACAAATATATTTTTTAACCAAGATAATGAACTTTATATTACTGGAGTCTAGCACTGCCAAAATGTAGATTTGCTCAGGGGAATACTTAATTTCTCATCAAACCCTCTTCTGATTTAGACAGCTGTTAGGAAAACTTTGCCTGCTTTTAACAGTGGTTCTGCTTGTTTTGTAAGGTTTTGTTTAAAGGGGATAATAAAAGTTGAATATCTTTTTTAAAACATAACACATTGTCTTTTTAAAATAAGTATATAGAACCTGACTACTCATTTTGAAGTTAAATCGCCTCTCCATGTGCTGTGTTTCCTTAGAAACAGTGAAAACAGAAAGTGGGCATGAATTCTATGAGACTAATAGAGAATAATATGCTGTCAGGAAAAAAGTGTAAATATTCAATTAAAAGAATTTGAAAATTGTCTTAAAAAGACTCCATCATATGAAAGCAAATTCTATATTTGGGTTTATTTTATCTTAAAAATAACTTCATAAAATATATTACAAATGACCTCATTTATTTTTATCTTTCATTTGCGGTTCCTCATAGAAATGTGATTTCTGTGTATGTGTTTAAATGATAAAGCCTAAAATTGATACAAGAACTACAAGGTCAATGAATTGGTATGGCTATATTACTTATTGAAATTTTAAAAAGGAAACACAACACTGAATTTACCTTTTCCTTTTGGGAAAAAAAAAGTCTTCCTTAATGTAATGGGGTTTAAAATTTTTATTTTTGCCATTAACAGATGGCAAAATGCTTAATATGCCTGGGAACCTTCGAATAATACTTTTTGAGTTTATTTATAAAAGTGTTATTGGTTGGAACTGGCTTGTTGGAAACCTTTTACTTATTTTTTTAATCATTTTAACAAATGTGCAAAAGGAGTACTTAGCCTTCGTTTCATAATTTATATTTGTTTTATTTTATTTAAAATATTCATTTTATTTATTTAAAAATAGTTTTTCTAAGAATTTTAAGGCTAATATCATTTTCTCCATGTACAGAGGTTTAGCTTTTGGGAAGGAAGAGGGTCCTCCCTCTACCTTATCTCCATGTCCTTTCTCTGATCAGCTGGCATGTCTGAATGTTGTTCTTATCTGCAAAATTGTGTGTTGCCTTCTCTATAACCAAAGCCAGTGACAGTCCACAGACGCTCTTCCCCAAAGACCACCTTCATTTTCTTTCCTGCACACCCAGTCTCATAAGCCAAGTGCCCGAGCTACAGACTGAATTTGAATTTTGATCTCCCAGGTGGCAGCTTGTGCATCGCTAAATAGTATTAGGCTTATCTAGTGTTTTGTTCCCCTAGACAGGAAAGTCTTTTGCTATTGTAGATGCTCAGATGATTGTTTGGGGAATATTGTATCTTACTGTTATTTGTGGTTTTGCTTGCCTATGAAATTGGGACTTACTGTGTAATCATGGAGAGGCATGAATGAGGTGAAAGCCACATGAGAGTACATCTGTTTTCAGGCTTCTGAAATGAGGTTGGACACAGTGAAATAGATTCATGAAGCATAATTATTCAGGGTATAGTAAGAGAGACCTCTGAAAATGAAGGAACCTTTTTACTTTCCTGTGTGTGAAGGGAATGAAGGAATATAGATATAAACCAAGAAGCAGTAGGTTGTGGAGTGGAAGCAGAGGGAGAAAGCACTGGAATAAAGAGACAAGAAACAGCACTTGAAAATTATCAGATGTCAGATGGAGTAGAACCAGCCACAGTTTCATAAAAGTGGTTGAGTATTTTATATCCTATATATGAAAACAGTTTAACATCCAATTTGCTTCATTTCTCTAGAAAGCCAAATAAGAGCAAAATTATTGAGAGAACAAAGGCAATCTGTAAATTGTCAAAACATTATAGTTGTTCTTCAGATATTAATTAACTAAATTATGAGTCAGAATATCATCTTATTTTTCCCCAGAGCATTGTGAAATTGGAGTCTTTCTCTCTTCACACGGTTATAGAGTGTATCTTGCTTTCAGTTTTTGAAAGGGGGACCTCAACACATCCACCCCAACCCCTCTGAGTGTCAGACATTTTAAATACTTAATTTGAATGTAAGCAATAATGATTGCACTCAGAAAAGCAAGCTATTTAAAGTGACAATCTTTTACACATCCCCAGAGTGCCCAAGAAGCCTATTGCATATGTAGGGTCAGTAGTGGGAGTATGCTATACAGTTAGACGTTACTGCCTCACTTGCTTCATGCGTTCATTTAATAAGAATTTAAGAGCGGGGTCTACTTCAAAAATGCTATGTATTTAATTCTTGACTGCCGAAGGTATCGTGACCTTGCATTTTAGAATACTTTTGATATCTTTTTCTTTATTTATT